TCGTCGTCGTCGTCGTAGTAGGGAGTGCAAGAGGGGGAAGGAGGGAGGGAGAAGGAGGAAGTGAGGAGGGAAAGAGGGAGGACGAGGAGTGCCATGGAATTGGGAGAAGGAGGGAGGCGATGGAGCGGGGAGGACTCCGGAGGAGTGCCGAGGAGTGCAATGGAATGGGGAGGGGCGGAGAGAGGAGGGAGGAGAGTGGAGGGAGGAGGGAGAGCGAGGGAGGAATGAGGTGAAGGCTGGAGGAGGAGTGCCATGGAATGGGGATGCGGAGGGAGTAGTGCGATGGAGTGAGGAGGACTCCAGAGGAGTGGGGAGGATCGCCGAAAAGCAAGATGGAGGGAGTTTCGAGTAGTGGGGGGGATGCCGAGGAGTACCGTGAAGTGCGGAAGGGCACAGAGGAATGGGGAGGAGTGTGGAGAGGGGGGAGGAATGGAGTGAAATGCGGAGGAGTACCGAAGAATGCGATGGAGTGCGGAGGAATGGGAGGCTCTGGAGGGCTCCTTGGAGACCCTGAAGGCTTCGGAGAGCCCAAGAGGCACTTCGGCTGCTCCAGTAGGTTCTTCGGAGAGCCCAAGAGGCTCTTCGGCGGCTCCACGAGGCTTGTCGGCGGCCCCCAGAGGCTCATCCGAGAGGCTCTTCGGAGAGAGGGGGGGGAGGAGGCTCTTTGGAGACCCCCCCCCTTCACCGTACTCGCTGATAAATACCCTCCAGAAGAGCCGTGGCCATACTAACACCCACCAGGCCGCACTAGCAACCAACGGGCCACAGTAACACCTTATCTCCCCCCCTACCCTGGCAGAGCCACCCTGGTCACCCCCTCCCCCTTCAACTCACGCGCCGGATCGGCGGATTTGCTAACGAATCGCTCGTTCACGAACGCACGGCCTCCCACTGGGAACGTTCGTCTCTGGCGCCGGGAAGATGGAGCTCACACCGGGGGAGCTGGCGTCCGTATGCACCGTCGGTGACACGGGGCAGTGGGCAGGCGTTGCGTTTGTTCCGTTCGTGGCTTCGTTGACGGAATTGGAGCGGGCGGGACCAGGCACGTTCGCCTCCTGGGAGGACGCGAGCGGCTACGTGCAGGCAGCCCGCAATCCAGGACCGTGCGACTCTTCTCGTGCTCGCCGCGCCGCCCAGCTCGCGCGCGGCGCAGTGGAACTGATGCGGGACCACCAGCGCGATGCAGGCGTGGCGCGTCAGCAGAAGCAGGATTCGAAGAAGAAAAAACGACATTAACATAAACTTTTGGCGTTCCGCGCGGTTTTTTTGGATCCGCGCGGACCTCCAAAAGTTGATGTTTATGTTTTTTCCCTTCCTCGAAGGACACCGTCAAGAAGAGCCTCGCGAACGCACTCGCGGTCGCCCAGGCCGCGGCGGCCGCGGCGCGGGCGGCACAAGAGGCAGCGTCCCCGCACGCTGCAGCCTCCCACACCGAGGCCCTGGCGGCGCGGAGCGTTCGAGACGGCCACCAGCCAGGCCTGGGAGGGGCCCACTCAGCCTTTGAGCGCCGAGGAGGTCAAGGACCACTTCGCCAATCACCGCGCCGTCTTCGACAAGGACCCCCCCCGAGATGAAGAAGGCACCCCAGTCCAACTGGCGGGGCTGAAGTGCGTCTTGGGGGGAGCTGGCGCCCCGTGCCTCGATCTCGGCGCGCGGGGCCCAGACCGTCAGCGGCATCGGCGTCGAATCCGTTTCTGCGGGGCGAAGTTCGGCGCAGGGGGCGCGCTCGAGACGGTGGACCTTTGGGCCTGGTCAACTACCGCGCGCGGGATGAGAGTTGCCATTTCGCCATCACCGGCACGATCGGCGTCGAGGCCGTCTCGTTGGGAAATCTCACCAATAACGCGCATAAAATCAACATATTTTCCGATGTTTGCATCCAGGAATGTTGGGCCTTCATCTATCAAGCTGATGCTCGGTCGAGGCCCGAGGATATGGAACGGCTCTTGCGCCGTCTTGAAGAGCAGCGCACCGGGGCCACCACGCCACCGGCGGGGGCCATTGCGACGAATATGACCCCAGCAGGCCTTGGAATTCCGCTTGGGCAGCCATGGTGGACAGAGAAGGCTTCTGGCCGCGCGAGGTCGAGCGCCCGTGCCAGCTCTACCAGTCGAAGATCAAGTCCAAGCAGTCGTTCGTCGACGGGGGCGCCCTGGTCGAGTCGGCGGCCGGCTCGGATGCTAACCCGAGCGGGGGCAGCAGCGCCGCGCGTCTGGGCAAGCGCATAGCGGAGCGGGTCGACGACGCAGGCGATCGCAGGGTTCGAGAAGAGCCGCCGCGTCGCAGATGGCCCCTTCGCGCACAACTGCCGCGGCATCAGGCTGCGCGCGGACTTCCAGAGGGGGGTCCGCGCCAGAGTCGGCGCGGGCGGTCGCTGCGCCAGGATCCCCGGCGCGGCGCATCAACGCGCAAAATGCTCGGGCCAGAGGCGCGGGGCATTCCGTCCCAAGGAGTGCCCCTTTCACGCCGCGCGAGCCTCCCGCTCGCGAGCCCCCGGCAGTCGGGGGCCGCGGCTCTGGCAGGGGCCGCGGGCGCTGCCGCCGGCGATCCTCGAGACAGTCGGCGCTGGCGGCTGCGCCGACCCCGCGGGCCGCGACGGCGGGCGGGCCGAAGCGGCGGAGGGCGCTGCCCCAGGGCCGCCGGCGCGGCGCCTTGATGGGGCCCCAGTGCTTCCAGCGGCGCCTGTGCAGCATCGATATCAAGAAGTGGGACAGCGTTCGAAGGTGCTCGTCGCGTTCTCGGGGCCGCCCGAGGCCCCGGCGGAATTCAAGGGGCATTTGAGGGGGCCGGGCCGCGACGTGGACGTGTTCTCGGGGCTTATAGGAGACGGGGGTCAGTGCGAGCGGGGGTCAGCCAGGGCACAGGATCCCGCAGGATCTTGCGAAGACCCCCTCTGGCTGACCCAGGTTAGCGAGCCGATCGCGGCCGCGAGGCGGCCGCGCGCATTGGCCGACCCGGGTTTGCGAGGACCTGCGTTGCAGCTTTCTTCCTGCATTTTAGTTTTTTGGTTCCCTGCTGACTCAGGTCTGGATTGACCCGGGTCAGAAGACCCCCGATGTTCGACGCCGCCGAAGACGACGGCGCCCGCGACGTTGGCGAGGATGTCCCGCGCGAGACTCTGGCCAGCCAGATTCGCCTCGCGTTTTTGGCCGTCTTCTTGGGGCCCCCTCGCGCTGCCCCGCCGGCGCGAGGGCGCGAGCCCCCAGGGGTCCACGGCCTGCCGGGGCTGCCGCCCATGGAGAAGGACTTTCCGAGAGCCCGCGCGCTGATGGCCATCGGGTTTTGCGACGCCGGAAATCTGCGTTCTCCCGTGTGAGCCCCGTGGCGCCTGGCGGGCTGGGCCCGCGCCGGGGGGTCGCCGTTGTTCTTCGCGCTGCCGGAGGCGGAGGCTCTGATGGGCTTGGCCGGCGTCGAGGACATCGCGAGCGCCGGGCCAGTCGCCGCCGCCGCCTTCCGGGGGTCCGGGCGGCGAGCAGCGCGGCGGAGTTGAGCGGGCTGGTCGCGGAGGGCATCGATTTGGCAGCGCGCGGTTCTACCTGTCGAAACTCGGCGAGTCCGCGCGCGAACCCCGGCGCCCAGAGGCCCGCTTCTCTCCCGGAGGCGCGGCGGCCACGTTCAGCGCGCGGCTGCGCGGGGCCCGCGAGGGCCCGAAGCAGCGGCGCAAGACAGGACGACGCGCGCCTGGGGGGCATGCGGAACGCAGCGGCTGCCGTTGCCCAGGTGCCAGGGCAGTGCCGCTCAGGGCCTCTGCTCTGCAAGTCTTTCAGCAGCTTCCTCGACGCCGCCCGGGCGTGGAGCGCGGCCTCCTGCGCGCAGCGTCGGGGTCCGAAGGCGGACAGGCCGCGCCGGGGCCAGAACCAGCTAGCGCTGGGCAAGGCCCGCCATGGTCTGTAACGCATCTTGCGAGCGCGGTCCACGAATGCGATCGACGCGGCCACATGCTCGACGCGCGTCCGGGGGCGTCTTCTCCGCGGGCGAGCGCGGGCGGGCTGAGCGCGCGCCGTCGCGGTTGCCATTCTCCTCCCTGCGGGCCGCGCGCTGCTCTGATCGTCGGACAACCAGGCGTCGGCTCTCTACTGCCGCGAACGCGCCGAGACCCGGGCAGCCGTGCATGGAGCTCGCGGAGCCGAACGAGCTCATTGGCATCGCGGGGCCGGGCAGGGCCTGGCGCTGCGGGCCACCCCGATGGGCTGGATCAGCGATGCGACGGTGGTCCAGCACAGCTGCAGGAGGCCCGGCTTCGGGCTGAAGCCTTCATCGCGGTATTTCTGTTCGAGGCAGAATGGCGGAAGGACTGGCCGCTGCCTTTCAAAACGAGGCAGCTAGATCATGCCAGTACTTCGTGGACGACTCGGACCACGGCGAGAGCCATGCCAGCTTGCGAACGAGCTCGCGGGGACCGTGAACCCGGCGCGCACTGAGCAGCGCGTTGCCTCCCAGCGGCCAGGGATCAGCGTCGCCCCATGGGGGGGCCAAGCGCCGCGAGCTGATCCGCGAGCGGACGGGTGCTGGGGTCGACGGCGAGGTCGGCCGAGTCGGAGTTGCCGCCGAAGAGCCGCGCCTTCTCCCCGCGCTCATTTCGCGGGTCGTGGGGCAGCCTGCCTTGGGCTCGAAGGTTTTATGGAGAGGCTGGTAGTGTGGGACAGGCTTGGGATCTATAGCATCTTCTTGGCGCCAGACGCTTCGGGCGCTTCATGGGTGCGCTTGCGGCGCGAGGGCGGCGTCATGGGATGGGCGCGTGGAGCGAGATGGGCCGAGGCTCCCCAGCGATCTGGGAAGTGCCCATCGGGCGTCCCAGGGATGCTGTATTCCGCCAGCCTCTCGCGCGTTTCTCGGGCGAGTGCTGGGCCGCTGGGCGGGGGGCTTCTCCGCGAGCAGCGCTTGCCCGCGCGCGTTGCGAGCTCCTCCTTTTGAGCGCGCGCGCCCCCCCCCCCCCCCCCGCGCGCAAGTGCCTGCTGGCAGCGGTCGACGCGGGCGCGATTGCCGCGCGGCGCTGCCAGGCCCGCGGCTACGAGGATGACGTTTTGGCGCAGGGCTCGTTTCAGACCCTGGGTGGGCCCCCGCTCGCTAAAGAGCGCGGCGTGCTCGTGGGCTTCGATCGCCGCCATTCTCAAGCAACCGTCAAAGATGGCGGGGCGCCCGAGCCGAGGGGGCGTCGTCATGGAGGGAGAGCCTCGTCGGCGATGCCTATTGCGTCCAGCGCGTCGCGTATCTCCCTGGCTCTTTGGGCCCTGTCCGCGGCGGCCCCTGCGGGGTTATATTTGGCCGCCTGCGAGCGCGAGTCGAATCGCGACATCGACGCGGACTTCAGGCAAGTTGGTCTACGGCGCTCCGCCTCAGAACGCGGTCTCACCCTCGAGTTCCCGCGCGTCGCCGATTGCGGGCGCGGGCGTCGGACTGGACTGCAACGCACCGCGCAGAGCTCGGGCTCGACGGCGATCGGCGCTGCGCGCTCCGCCGTGGGCCCAGCGGATCGCCCAGATCTTCGAGCGGCGGTGGCCCGCCCGCATCTCGGAGCTCGAGCTGGAGGCTGCCGCGGCGGGCGCGTGGTGGAGGCGCCGCGACGCTCGGAAGCGTCGCCGCTGGCGCCTACGCTTGCTAGATGCCCAAGCGGCCGCGGCCGTCTGCGCCCAGTGCCGCTCGCGCGCGTGGAGGCTGCGGCCGGATGCCCAGTGGCCCATCGCGCTCGTCCTCGCGACTGGCTGCAGTCCACTCTGCGGATGTTGCGACGCGGGCGACGCGCCCGCCGATGCGCCGTCGCGTTGAACGGGCGACCGCGGCAGCCAAGGCGAGGCGAGCGGCGGCCAATGCGCAGGCGCGGAGGGCGGCTGCTCGGAAGCGCCCGCTCCGCGAGGCCATGGCGACGCCGATCTCAACGACGAGGTGCCTGGAGGCCGTCGACTGCGCGCTCGACTGCCGGACTGCCCGGGCAGGGCCGCCAGCGACTCCAGCCCAGGTGGGCGCCAGCCCCGTAGTCTACATTGAAGACTGCTGTTTTTTCAGGATGGTCGCTGTTCGACGTGGCCACGGCGCTCGCTGGCATGTGCCACCGCTTCCCGCAACTGCGGTGCCACTTACGCGAGAGCTGGCGCCTCGCCCAGACGTGGCAGCGCCAGGACCCAGCAGCGCGAGTTCCCCCGTCGGCCCGCTCATCGCGCTGGCGTTCTCTGGCGCCGCAGTGATGTTTGCAGCCTGCGACTCGTGGCCCTGGGTGGGGGAAATTTTGGCGAGTCTCGCGTAAACAGATGCCCAGCTGTACCCCACTCAAGGCCCAGCTACGACTCGCATGCGAGACGCCAGGTCGCAGCGCCAGACAGGTCGGCACGCAGTTCAGTTGATGGTCGCGGCGGCAAGACAGCGCGAGAGCACCTCGCGTGGGCGAAAGCATGGTGAGGGGCTAGCGTTGGGCCTGCCGCCTGCGGTGTTCCACCGAGTCTCTAGCGAGATACGAGCGCCCCTCTTGCCTATGGTCAGAAGCGGACACTATACAGCTCGAGACGAGGTGGGGCGTCAGCCGACTTGCGGATTCATGGGTCGATGGGGGCCATCTCGCGGGGTCGCTGGGCCAACGTCCGCACGGCAAGATTGTGTGTGCAAGACGCCGTGGCCGAAGCGACGACGCTCGCCCTCGAGCCCGCCAAGCGCACCCGCTGCTTGCAGCTGGCAGGCCGCCTGCGGAGGGAGATTCAATACTCGTTGCGTGTCCCGCCCACCTATCTCCCCCCTCATCCTCCCCACAGCAGGATGAGGAGTCGAAGGTATCGAAGTATGCTTTCGCTAGTTTCAGATCCGTGGAGGGTGAGGCGTGCGCTTTGCCGGGCACTGGCCCTCGACAGGCCCTCCCGGGCGCGGGGTGCCCTGGTGAGTCCCGGCGGCTTATCAGCTCCCCAGGGGTGCCCAGGTGTGCTCGTCCATGCCGGCGTCTGCCGAGCGTGAACGAGGCAGCATACGCTGGCCCTGCGTCTGGGGGGGCCAGTCGAAGGGGTTCGGGCCCCTGGCAGCACAGCGACTCCTGGCGGATCGTTCAAAAAAGGGGGAAGGGGATACATCGTCGATACGACCTGTCCCCAAAGGAGGTCGGGAACGCAGCTCCCCCAGCCGCGGGTGATCGGTCCCTGTCCATTGCCGCCCCCCTTCCCGCCCTCCCCGTTTCGAGGTCCAGGCGCTCCACATATGTGCGTTGACGGGGATCGAGGAGGAGAGCCTGAAGAAGCAGATGCAGGCCCCTCTGCGGCGGCGCTGGTGGAAGTGGCCGCGGAGGTCGCGCGGGCAGCGGGTACCGACATGGAGGAGGAGAGGAGGAGGATATGGAGGAAGAGGAAAAGGAGGAGGAGGAGGAATACTCACGAAAATAATACGACAAAGAAGACGAATACGAATCTTTTTAATTTAAAGAAGACTAGCATTAACTAGCATTAACGAAACAGTAGTGCTTGCGATTCTTATTAATGTTGATACCAACAACCAGATGAATACACCTAATACAAACAAGAGTGGACACACGAATACGAACACGAATACTAATAATAAGGCGAGTACGAGTAATACAAATAACACAAGTACGACAATTAAACATATTAGCAATACGAAGAAGAAACACGAATGCAAGGAGTATCATTATTACTTCCAATATTCGTCTTGAAATGATTCATAGTCACAATAAAAAGGAACAACCATAGTACGAATAGCAATAACATTCACAATGATATACTAATGTCACATTACACATAACAATAAGAGGCACATAAGAAACGAGATGCAGCTCAAAAATAATACAACGACGAATTAGTATGACGAATGACCGACATCGGAAAAACATAATAACAGTATTAATACTACGACACAGCAGAATCAGCATACGAAACACATCATGATATAATAATCGTAATATACTAGTCGTAAGCAGAAACGTAGTAACATATGAATATTAAGACACATACTAATAATACTACCAACTTAGAGGATGCATCGCACTAATAGTAACACTGATATTACGAATCAAATCAGAGTAGCAAGCGTATGGAGAATAACATGAATAACAAGAAGACAACTAATAATGCCATTACTCTTGGAGAATCGAAATCATAAAATAATAATAATACAGTAATACTCAGAATGCCAAGAATATGAAGAAGACACATAATTGTTACAATCATGGTGGTACTGCGAAGAAACATCAGAAAGGAGGAGGAGGAGGAGCAGAAGGAGGGGGAGGAAGGGGCGGAGGAGGAGGATGAGGAGGAGGAGGTGGAGGACGACGACGACGAGAAAGAGGAGGATGAGGAGGAGGAGGCGGAGGAGGAAGAGGAAGAGGAGGAGGAGGAGGAGGAGGCGGACGAGGGAAAACGCGGAGGAGGAAGATGAGGAGGAGGAGGAGGAGAAGGCGGAGGAGGAGGAGAAAGAGGAAGAGGCGGAGGAGAAGGAGGAAGAGGAGGAGGAACATGATGATGATGATGATGATGATGATGATGATGGTGTTGATGGTGTTGATGATGATGATGATGATGATCATCATCATCATGATGATGATGGTGGGGGTGGCGGTGGTGGTGAACAGTGATGACGATGCTGCTGATGATGCTGATAATGATGGTGAGGATGATGATTGGGATGATGATGACAACGACGACGGCGACGACGACGAATACGATAGTGAAGATTATGATGGTGAAGATGATGGTGGTGGTTGTGAGTATGATGAAGATGATGATGATGAGGATGGTGTTGATTGTGGTGATGATGCTGATGGTGGTAGGGAGTAATGGTGATGTTGATGATGCTGACGATGATGATGCTGGCGATGACGATAACGATGCTGATGATAATGGTGATGATGCTGATCCAGATGATGCTGATGATGGTGATGCTGGTGATTGTGATGATTATGCTGATGATGATGCTGATGCTGATGATGCTGATAATGATGATGATGGTGGTGGTATTGATGATGATGCTGATGGTGATGATGATGCTGATGTTGATGATGCTGCTGCTGCTGATGATGCTGCTGCTGATGATGATGATGATGATGATGATGATGATACGTTTGATGATGGTGGGGGTGGTGGTCATGATGCTGATCACGGTGATGATGATGCTGACGATGATGACGATGATGTTGATGTTGATGCAGATGATGATGATGATGATGATGATGATGATGATGATGATGATGATGATGCTGATGATGATGATGATGATGCTGGTGATGATGATGTTGCTGCTGATGGTGAGGACGATGATGATGATGATGATGATGATGAGGACTGTGATCATGAGGATGATGATAATAATTTTGATGGCGGTTGGCTCAAGGGCTCAAGGGCTCAAGGGCTCAACCTAGGGCTCCACTGCGTGCGTTCGCATAGCGCGCTCGTCGCGTCCGCGAGGGTGGGTAAACCGAGGGTTTTCCGGTTCCTGCCTTCGCGAGCGCAGCCATGGCGGGGCGCTGCCGGATTTGTGCGGCCCGCGGCGTGGACGGCCCCGCCCTCCCAGGCATGGACGACTGCCCGACGCACCAGCAGCTCGGTGGCGCGGTGGCGGCCGCCCCTGCTGCCAAGGCTGACGAGCCGCACATGGGTGACGACTCCGAGGACTCGGGCCTCACCCAGGCCGCCGCCGCCTTGCAGCTGGCCGCAGTCCCAACGCCGCCTGGGCTTGCCCCGCCTGCAGCTGCTGGAGCCCCGGGCATGGCGCCAGCTGCTGGGCCCCCGTTGTCGGCTCCCGGTCGGCCGATCGGAGCCGCGCTGGCAGCCGCGACAGCGCCGGCGCTCGCCTCCGAGCTGGACCACCTGCACGCCTTCCTCGAGGACGAGCTCTTGGCTAACTCGGTGGTGACGGCGGCGGCGGCCTCCACGGGCCTTCAGCCCCCACCGCCAGAGGGCGGAGAGCGAGTCCCTACCTCTTGGACGGAGCTGTCGGCAATGCTCCGGCGGCAGGCTTTTCAGTGTGACGCCCGTGACCCCTGGCAGGCGCTGGGCCTGTTCACCATGGAGGGTCCCGCCCCGTCGGTGATGGACCTCGACCGCCGTCTCTGGCGGGCCCGCACGCTGCTGGCCGTCACGGGCAAGGCTGGTTGGACGGAAGACGACGCTGCCGCCGCGCTTCAGGCGGAGTCGCACCTGCTCTGGGCGCATGCGCATGGCCTTCATCAACTTCCGGCAGTGCTAGCTCGGCGCAGGAAGGACAAGGGCGCTCCTCACGACCGCTGGAAGGAACTGGGCGCCCCAGGCCTGGAGTTCATCATGAACACCCCAGCGTCTCTCAACGAGGCGGTCGCGACGCAGATTTCGGACGTAGTCGAGTTAACTCCTGCTCTTCGCCAACACGGTCGGCTGCTCGACCCTGCCTCCGCTAAGGTATGGCAAGAGCGACTCGCGGCCGGTGATTTCGATGGTAATCAGCTGATGCAGTGGTTGCCCCATGGTGGCCTGGTTGCGTGGGCGCCCACCTCGACCTCGGCGTTGGGGCGGCTCCGGGGTGCTCTCCTGAAGATCCCTGCGGCGCTCTTCGAGGGACGCCCCATCCGCCTGCTGGTCCCCATGGCGGTGCTCCCAGGCTGTTCTACCACGACCGCTGTCCGAGACCTCTTCTGGCACCCGTTTTTCAGCGACAAGTGGGCGTCTCTCATTCGGGAGCAAGGCTTCGTGACCCAAGCCCTCCAGATGCTTGACACGGGCTCCGGCGGCCCACAGCACGTCTCCAAGGGCTTCTTCATCGCCACCGTGTCGACGCATTTCCCGCACCAGTTGCCGAAGATGCTGTCGGTGGCGTTGCCGTTAGCGGAGGTGCGGGTGGGCCAGGTCGTCTACATGGATTGCCCCACCTCGCACTTAGCCATGGTGCTTGAACGAGTTTTGGCATTGGGCGAGGTCCTGCAGCTTCGAGTGGGTCGTAGCGGCCGCAGCCCGGGCTCGTCGGAGGCCGCCCCGCGCACCCGCACAGAGCTTCACATGCCACCCACTGTGACGGATTTCAGCGTCCAGATGCTGTTGGTTGGTTTCCGGAGGCAGGATTGGCCCGTTCCGATTTTCTTCGCGTCCAGGTCAATCTACTCGGACTCCGCGGCCCCGCTCCTGGAGCTCACGGACCCGTCCGCCCTCGGCAAGGTCCACAGCCTGTGCAGGGAGTGCCTCTTCTTGTCCACGACGAAGGCGACGATCCGCACTGATGCAGACCCCGAGGATTGGCAGCGGCTGCTGGAGGACATCTGGGCCATGGATCCGGAGGCAGCGGCGACCTCGTTTCGATGGCGCCCTTCTCGCATGGGCGGCCGCTCCATCGCAGCTCCGGCCGCGGCCAAGGAACGTCTCCGAGCAGCGCGGCATCCGGCTGTGGCCCGCCTTGAAACTCAAGGCGATGGTTCGTGCACTGCTGACCTCACAGCCACGGGCTCCCTCGGATACGACCCGCAGAAGGCGGTGGCTGCTATCATGGCGGTAGTGCTTCAGCAGACGGGGGTGGACATGAAGCACGCAGACTCGGCGACGCAGCTCTGCCCGGGCACGTGGCGGCGCACGGCCGCTGACGACCCGTCAGCGGACCCCAGCAGGGTTCGTCTGTACTTTCGCACGGCGGCGGAGGCCGGGGCAGTCCAGACGGCCATCCAGGGACGCGCCATACAGGTGGGCGACGACGTGGTGGCCCTCCAGGTCGTGACCGTCGCTGGCACAGCCTCGTCGTCCAACCGTCGGGGGGGGGCCCGCTCCGCTGCGGCGGACTCCCCTCCACAACGCTGAAGCGGGACCTCCGGGAGCTGGACGTCCACCTCACCCGGCCCCCAGTTCGACATCGGAGGTGCATGCATGTGTAATTGAGGCCATCGCCTCGGACGGCACTGTCGGGTACCTCCTCGACCTCGTCATGGCCAGTCGTCGCATTTCTCTCTCACATGTTCTTCTTCACGACGTTCCTCTGGAGCTCCGGGCTCCGACGCCATCGATGCCGCTCTTGTATCTTCGTCCTCTGTGTGCTCAGCGTCCGCAGGCTGCCGTTCAGCAGTGGGGCAGCCTTCCATCGCTTCCGCCAGCAGCCAGTGCCCCGCAGCTCCCCCGCCCTCGCCGGCGGCCCCCCCCGCCTCGGGCGCCCGCCCTTGACCTCCGCCATCCGCCCCCTGCAGCCTCCGATCCGCCCGAGACGAGATTCCCCTTCCTGGGCGACGTGCAGGGGGCCAGCTGGAACTCGCAGGCGCTGTTCGCCTGGGAGCGGCGCTGACATGAGCAGAAGGACTCTTATGTCCGTCGTCTATTACGCAGCCGGGACTTCGTGGCCATCACTGATTCCCATGGCCTGGAAGGTGAGACGGCCATTTGGAGTTGCCCAGCAGATTGCACATCGTTTTTCTCACCGGGCACGTCCACCAGAGCAGGCGCGGGGCTGATCATGAAGAAATCTTTCCTGGACCAGTTCGAGGCCGTGGAGCCGCGGTGGATCCATCTGGTCCCAGGCAGGGCAGCGCTGTTGCAATTGAGGGGCACGGTTGGTGCTCTCGACGCTCACGTCGTATACTTTGCCACTGGCACGCCAGGCATGGTGCAGCCCAGGGGCATGGCAGTCGACGGCGCTTTAGCCGCCGGCGCGAGGGAGCAGCGGAGCCACATGAGACGGGTCCTCTCTGCGGCCAAAGGAGGAAGTCTTGTCATTGGTTACGGGCGACTTCAACTGGGTGGCTGCCCCTGAAGACCGGACGGTGAAATCTACCGGCGAGTTCTCTGGCGCGGACGACGCCGCCGAGCAGAGGGAGGCCATGGCGACGCTGTGGGGCCTGGCCGGCTTGTACGAGGTCCGCCAAGACGAACCCACGCACGAGTGCGCTCAGGCGTGGAGCCGGCTCGATCGTTGCTACTGGAATGCAGACTTGGCTGGCCAACTGGACCGCGACATCTCGTGCACTGCTCTTGAGTGGGTTCCACAGTTGTCGGCCCACAGGGCCATCGCATTCGGCCGCCGCACCCCGGCCAGGCGAGAAGCAGGTGCCGCGCCGGTCCGCCCGGAGATTGTCGCCGACGCCAGCTGGCCACTCCGGGTCGCGGCGGTGTACCAAGAGCTGCGGCAGTCATGGTGGCGCTCGGCCGGCGGCTCTTCCGCGGTCGATCCGGGGCTGCCCCCGGTGCCATCGTCTGGACATGGTGTGCCCCCTCTCCGAGATCTGGCTTTCCTTAAGCAGGCAATGAGGATCACGGCGGACTGGATGCTCCAGGAGTCTTCAACGACTACGCCAGGGGCCTCGCTCGACAACAACGTGGGCCATACGTTGCGTTTCAAACGAGCGGCAGAACGGGGGGCGACAGGAGTGATGCAGCAGTGCCTTCACGCATTCCCTCGCCTTGGCACCTTAGTCCCCTCGCCGCTACAGCTGGCCAGCGCTCGCGGCCGGCAGCTGCAACCGCACCGACAGCTCGCCGTGGAGTTGGCGCGCGATTTCGCCTTGGAGGAGCTCTCGGCCTTGCAGGCGCAGCGGGGGGATTTGACCGAGCAGGAGGTGGGCGCTCATCGCAGCCGCATCCATACCAAGCTCAAGAAGCTCGCCCCCAGTCGCTCGGGCAGCCTTGCCGGCGTGGCGTCGACGAGCGGGGAAATCTTGACCGATCCGAAGGAGATGGCGGACGCTCTCAGACAGCACTGGCAGGACGTCTTCGCGCAGCGCCCGGCAGACGAGCAGCTCTTGGAGCAGGGGGTGCGGGACGACGTGCCGCCGCAGGTGCCGCCGCCTGACGCGGGCGCTTGGGCCCTCCGTCGTTCGCACGTGCAGAAAGCATTAGAGCAGTCTCCAAATTCGGCTCCTGGTCCAGATGGGCTCTCCTTCGCGGCGTGGCGCCGCCTCGGCCCGCTGGCCGTCGACGTCCTCTGGAACGCGCTCCAGGCCATCACGATGGAGGCAGAAGCCGAGTACTTCGAGGAGTTCATCACCACCTTCAACACCAGCCTCATGGTCTTTTTTCCCAAGGGCGCCGGCGACGCACGCCGCGGGCTGACCGGCCACAAGCCAGCGGACACTCGCCCTCTGAACGTCGCTTGTTGCGACAACCGCGTGCTGGCGAACGCCGCGCGGATCTGCGTGGAAGAGCCTGTGGCGGAGGCGGTCTCCATGGACCAGCGGGGTTTTATCCCAGGGCGGTCAATGTTATCCAACGTGATCGATGTGGACGAGCGCATGGTGACCACGGCTTTGCAACGAGACGAGGGGGCGGCGTGGTTCTTTGATTTCCAGGCCGCGTTCCCCAGCATCGCGCACAGCTTTCTCCGGCGCCTCCTCCGCGCGGCGGGGCTGCCGCCTTGGCCACTGCGCTTCGTGGGCGTGCTCTACATGGAGAACCGCTGCGCCATGGCGGTGGGAGGGTCCGTGCACGGCGGCTTCCAATCGCGGGCCGGCATCCGCCAGGGGTGCCCGCTGTCGCCCATGCTGTTTGCAGTGGCAGTCGATGTGCTACTCCGACGCCTCCGCCGCCTGCTGCCCTCGCTGGAGGCCCGGGCGCTCGCGGACATCGCCGCGATCACGCCTTCCTTCTTCGAGTCTGCTCCCCTCCTCCTCCGCATCTTCACGTACTTCGGCCGGATCTCTGGGCTGCAGTTGAACCTGCCAAAGACGGTCGTGGTGCCGCTGTTCCGCGGCGACCGGGCAGACCTACTGCGCGCGCTGCTAGCGGCCCACCCTGGGCGGGGGGGCGCCCGAATCGCCGGGAGCGCCCGCTACCTCGGATTTGTCATCGGCCCTGAGCGGGGTCACCTGACCTACGACAAAGCTCTGGCGAAGGTTCTCGACCGCGCCGCCTGGTGGGGCGCCGCGGGCGGGGGGCTGTTTCTGACGACTCTCGCTGACACAGCGTGCATCACTTCTGTGCTGGGCTTTCATGCAATTAGACGCCCTGCCCCCGCGCTGGTCGTCAGTCGAGGCAGAAGCCTTCCGTCTGCTAGTGCCGGGCCCCAGCCAGTGGGCATGCCCAGACGACCTCCGGCAACTGCGCGCGCTGGGCTGCCCGCGAGGATGCGACGATCTCCACGTCCGTTGCAGGGCAGCACAGCTTCGCGTGGCCACCATGGAAGACAGCGCTGCCGGAGGCTTGCGCGTGACCCCCCGCGCCGACGCTTTCCGCCGAGCCCGACGGGACACAGACAACTTGATGATCGTTGCCACATGGGCAGGGTGGTTCGACAGGTCATTTCTGCTGCAACTGGATGATAACCTTCGTCGTTGTCGCGAAGACGGCGTCACGGCGGGCCGGGTGGAACGGCAGCTCCTGAGGGCAGACGCCGGCGCGCGGCCTTTGCCGAAGCACCTCGATCGGCGTCTCCGGCGGGGCTTCCAGCGGACGGCGACGGAGTTGCTCACCTGCAGGGACACTGCGGCCATGGAACCGCGGTTGCGGCACAAGCTGGACCGGTGGCAGATTCCGCAGTACCCCCCGCGTCTCAAGGGGTATCCGGTTTCTGGCCGTTCTTGGCCAGCAGGCCCCGCCGCGGGTTTGGGCGGCCGCGTGGAGAGCGCTATGGAACGGGTGGCCCACGGCCCGCCGGACCCAGGGCCGCTTTGGCCTGCCAGGCAATATGTTCGATTGCTCGCCCAGCGCGGAGGACAGCATCGAACGCTACGCCAACTGCCAGGTCGGCCATTCGATCGTCGAGAGGGAGCTCGGCCTGCGACGGCCCGACAGCCCGGCATATCGACTTGCAAGTTTCCTTGGCCACGACATCGGGCCGAGCTCAGAAGACTCGGCGGTCGTGTTGCGCGGCATTCGGTTGGCGGCCATGTACCGAGTGCACTGCCATTGCCGGCGCGGGGCGCTCAGGAGGGGACGCGCCGCGAAGGAGGCGCTCCAGCAGGCCTGCCGCGAGGTCGTCAAGGGCCACCGGCGCGCGTGCAACATCTACGACGCGGCGCAGGAACGGTGGCGACGCTGAGTTTCTGAGGCCCATTTTGCGCTCGTCCGTCCTTTTCCTCCGCTCCCCCCTTCGCCTCTTCCTTCTCTCCCTTTTCCTCCCTCCTTCCTGGGCGCGGGAAGCCGCTCTGCGAGTCGAGGCCGGTAGGCCTGTAGCTGTCCCGGCCGCGTGGCCGTTGAATCGGGGGAGGGCGTCTGCCCTGGACTCGGCCGGAGTCGAAACTGTGCGCGAGCTTTCTCGCCCACGGAGGGCGGGCGCCGGCGTGTCGCCCTATTCGGGGACGCCGGCCCGTAGAACCATTCCAGGGCTGAATCGATGACGCTCGCAATCAGCAGTTTTTCGCGGAGCGATTCTCCTCCTCTCCGTCCTCCCCTCCGTCCTCCGCCTCCCTTCCTCCCTTCCTCCCTGTGTCAGCCGCTGTGCAGTCTTGCGGAGCTGGCCGGTGGGCTGGTGGCGCAACCGAGGCGCCCGTCGAGGGCGGTTCTCCTCCCCTCCCTCCTCCGCCCCCCGCCTCCGAACTCGTTTGTGCTGTTTTTTGAGATTCCCACCGGAGTCTGAATTCTGGTGGGGAGGGCACGTTTTGTCCGCCCACCGCCTCCCCCGGGGGCCCCACGCCTTGGGGGGGTGTGGGCCGCTTCTCCCCTTCCCCTTTTCCTTCTCCTCCCCTCTTCTCCTCCCCTCCTTTCCTCCTTCCCTTCCCCCCTCCCCTCCCCTCCCCTCCCCTCCCCCCTCCCCTCCCCTCCCCTCCCCTCCCCTCCCCTCCCCTCCCCTCCGTCGTCGTCGCCGTCGCCGTCGTCGTCGTCGTCGTCGTCGTCGTCGTCGTCGTCGTCGTCGTCGGGGGGCGGTCCCCAGCCTTCTTGGGCTTGTGGCCCCCGTGGGGAGGTGGCGTTTTCGGCAGCGACCGCGTTTTTAAGGCTCACATCCGGAGATGCGCTGTCCGGAGGCCCAGTCGGCTTTGCCCCGGCCGCGCGGCCGATAGATTGCGAGCGCGCCAGTTCCACCGCCTCCGCCTTGCTCGTTTTCCCCCTCCTCCCTCCCCGTCTCCCTCCGCGTGTGGCTGCGTTGAGCGGCGGTGGCGTAGAGAATCAACACGTAGCCGACTTGTGCCGATTTGTGGAGCAGGGCCAGCTGGACAACTACGGCCGTAGAGGCCCAAAATATTCGGCAAGAGCGCTCATTCCCTCCTCCCCTTCTCTTTCCGCCGCCTTTTGCCTTCCCCCTCTCTCCCCCCTTGCACGTCGTGAAGTTGGGCATGTTGGCCGTACTGTCATTTCTCTCGCTCTCCCAGTGCCATTTTCGCCAGGTCAGCTGGTAGGCACGCCATCTTATGCGACGCTCGGCGAGGACGGTCCTTTGCCCCTCTCTCTCCTCCTCTTTCCCCCTCCCTCCCCGAATTGGTGGCTTCGGTGCTACTGTCTGCACGGGCATTGCGCGTCGTGCCTGCGGCCGCTGCTGGCCGACCCTTGGTCGCTTTCGCCGCCCAGGCTTGCCCTTTTGAGCCGCTGCGGAGCAGCGTCGCGTTTGCCGGGCGCCTCAGCGCCCTCCTCCAGTTTCAGTTCATATAGTTGGCGAGTGCGTGCACCCAACATTTGATTTCACCCTTCGCGTCTCGTGACTGGAATTCGGGGTATATTCCAGCCTTGTGCCATGCACTGCACTGTGAGGCGGCTCATTGTTTGGTGTTGTGTGATGCTCGATTATATGAATGGTCGTTTGGATCATGGGGAGATGCACCCACAACGCTTTAATTCTTCGTCGTCGTCCTCCTCTCCTCCTCTCCTCCTCCCTTCTTCCTCTCCCTGCGGTTGTCCTTGCTCGTTTTAAATGGGGGATTCCAGAGCCGGGCCCAGTGTCGGTGCTGTCGCGTCTCACCTCTGTTTTGTTGGTGGTGTTTCCGTGGAGTAGCCCGGTTGCCCACTTGAGGACACGCGAGTTCTTTCGATCATTTTCCTCAGTTTGCCACTTGCCGCATTCGAGTTATGCCGCTATAGAGCCTCGCTGCCGTACGTGACCGATGGGAGTTGTTATAGCCCCCTTGAGGGGAAACGGGTTGATGACTACGGTATCGGAACAGATTCTGAAACGGGTGGGTGTTTGCGGCGGAAAAAATAAAAAATAATTTTGATGGCCGTGGGGGTGGTGGTGGTGAATCCTGCTGATGATGCGGATGATGTTGATGATGTTGTTGATGATGATGCTGATGATGTTGCTGATGATGTTGCTGATGATGAGCATGATCATGATAATGACCATGATGTTGATGATATTGAAGATAATGACGATGATGCGGATGATGATTATTATGATGATGAGGATGAGGATGTGGATGCGGATGAGGATGAGGATGAAGATGAAGATGATGATATTAATGATGAGGAGGAGGTGGAGGAGGAGGCCGATGAGGATCATGATGATGCTGATGATGAGGATGATGAGGATGATGAGGATGATGAGCATGATGAGGATGAGGACGAGGGCGAGGATGAGGAGGATAAGGTTGATGAGGATGAGGATGAGGATAAGGATAACGAGGAGGATGAGGAGAAGAATGGGGAGGAGGACGAGAGGACGGGTCGGTGCCGCACGGCGCGCGCTCTCCGCCGTGAGCCTTCCCCCCGCCCACATCGGTAGCAAAGCATAGGAGCCTTCTCGCGCAATGCCGTCGGTGGAGTGCACTTGCGCCGACTGGCGTCGAGTAGTCGATGAGATACAGTGGGGGCGCGCATCAAGAAACCATATGCGCTTCGTCAGGGTATCCTGGGGTTCTTCGCTCCGCGCGCTGCGCGGTGACTTCCGCAGCCGTTGAAGAAACTGCTGCGTTCAGCGCGCTCCCGGATTCCCCTCGGGTGCACCTCGCGCACGGGTTTTCAGGGTTGGGTTTCTTGCGGCCGCGCCCGCATTGTAGTCGATGAGATAGCGCCGATTAGCGTCGATTCGAGTCGATCAGCATCGATGTACCGTCGATTGGCGTCGGTCAGCGTCGATTCGCGTCGATTCACAAGAGCCAGCAAGATGGTATGGGAGGCTCTCATGGGTTGGTACCGAACCCCTCCGCCCCCGCCCGCTCCTCTAGTTTCTCCCCCTCCTCCTCATCCCGCCTGAGATGGACCAGACTCGCTGCAGTGTGGGAGCCTGGTGCCCAAGATGCCAGACCAGCACAGCGTAGACACGGGTAGCGAAAAAGGTGGGGAGATGACATAACACAGTTTCTAAAATCCGTGAGGCAAGGATTTCCTAGGCCACATGCACTTCCGAAAGGGGCTTCGGCACACCCGCGCGGCCCTCAAAGGGGCCCGCTGGCCGGCTGGCGGATTCGCGCGTCTTGCGTCCTTCGCCCTTCGCCATGGAGAGGGGTGCTGAAGCAGTCGGGTCCTGCAAGTTCTGCACAGTTCTCTTGCTCCTGGGGCCCTCCACGGGCCCTGGGACCGTCAAAACATTTTCCAGCATGAAAAGTATGTTTTGGGGGGTGGGTCAGCCACGCGCAGAGGGGGGTGGGGGGAGGGGGGAGGGCTTCTTAGAAGCCCCCCTGCTTCTTGGAAGGCGCGGGCCTCATGTATAGATGCAAGGCCGGCGCCTTCTAAGAAGCAGCCTCCTTCTAAGAAGCCCTCCCCTCCCTCCCTCCACCCCCTTGTGCGCGCCGCCAAGTGGGGGGGGGTTGCCTTGGGGTCCAGAACCCGTTTTCCCTCAGGACTTCTTGACGCCCAGGGAGGCCCAGAGGTGTAGAGCCTCCTCGCCAGCCGGTGGACGCCTCCGCCGCAGCCCGCTGTCCTGACCTGTTCGTCTGTGGCTCCTGGGCGAAAAATTAAAGATACTCAAAACATATTCCAAAAGTATTCAAAAATAGTAAAAACCGTCCCCAGTTTTTTTTGACTATTTTTGAATTCTCCTCCTGTAGAGGGACTGACCCGACTTAATACTAGCCCGCCAGCTCTACCAGTGCATCGCGGCAGCATACAGGCGGCCCGGATTAGTAGGTCGACCCTGCCAGATCAAGGGTACTTTCGTGTCGTGTGTCTTGCGGTCCATGCTTCCTGCATTCCTATGGCAATGTGGCCCTCGGAAGGGTCTTGTGTCCTCTCGCGTGTCCTGTCCAATGAAGTCCGACTGTAGGTCGATGTTTGGAACATCCTCCCTCGCCCCCCCCCGTCGAGCTGCCAAGCCGCCGGCGAGGTGAACCCGAACTTCATAAACCTCTTCCACCGCACCAAGGCCGAGTGGGTGGCGGGGATGGCGGGGGTGCGGAGGAGGAGGAGGAAGACGAGGAGGAGGGGGCGGGAAGGATGAGGAGAGGCCCGGGGAGGACGAGGAGGAGGAGGAGGAGGGCGGAGGAGGAGGAGGAGGAGGAGGAGGAGGAGGAGGAGGAGGAGGACGGTGAGGAGAGGAGGAGGAGGAGGAGGCGGTGGAGGAGGAGGCTCATCATGGCGCGATCGCTCTGTATTCTGTGTCGTGGCTTCGCACCCTTGGGCCGGCCGCCGCAGGCTGACCCGTTCTCCCCTGTCCAGGGTTTTGTTGCCCTTCGAGTGGCAGATAACTTCGTGGGAGAGGGGAGGAGGAGGAGGAGGAGGAGGAGGAGGAGGAGGAGGAGGAGGAGGAGGACAAGGAGGAGGACAAGGAGGACGACGACAAGGGATCAGGAGGATTGAGGAGGAGGAGGAGGATGGAGGAGGATGGAGGAGGAAGAAGAAGACTGACCGAGGATGAGGCGGGGGAGGAGAAGGAGGAGGAGGAGGGGGAATGGGAGGGGGAGGACGAGTGAACAGGAGGAGGAGGAGGAGGAGGAGGAGGATGAGGATTGGTAGAGCTCCTCTCTATGCCTTCTGACTGCCACGAGGGTCGGCTTGATATCCTCGGCGTGCCCCTCGGGGGCAGCGGAAGGGGGGGAAGGACGAGACAGCCAAGAGCACACAAGAGAGTTGTCTCGTGTGCCTCTTTGATTTGCCTTCCTTTCCTCGTCGCCGCCGTTGTCGCCGTCACCTTCGCCGTTGCCGTTTCCGTCATCGTCACCGTCGCCGTCGCCGTTGCCGTATCCAGCGCCACCGCTGCCACCGCCTCCGCCGCCGCCGCCGTTGTCGTCGCCGTCGTTGTCGCCGTCGTCGTCGTCGTTGTCGTAGTCGCCGTTGTTGTCGTCGTCGCCGTTGTTGTCGTCGTCGCCGTTGTCGTCCCATCCCACTCCTCCGCCGCCGCCGCCGCCGCCGCTGCCTCCTCCTCCTCCTCCGCCTCCTCCTCCATCTCCTCCTCCTCCTCCTCCTCCTCCTCCTCCCTCCTCCTCCTCCCTCTCCCTCTGCAGGAGGCTGTCCTGAAGGACGTGGCCGCCGTGGATCCGAGAACCGCGGGAGACCTCCTCTGGCGCGCCCCCCGCCGCCCCCCCCCCCCCCCCCCCCCGCGCGCTCTGTCTTGCCGTCGGCGCCCCGTCGCAGCCTCACCTAGGCTGGCGCCTCTTCTTCAGGACACTTTGCTGCTGCCTCGCCCGTGCCCTCTCTGCCCAGACGTCCGACGTCTCGATTTTTTTCGAGACACGGGCCCCCCGACCTTCCGACCACTTCCCCGGGACCGGTTTTTCATCACGAGTCGTTGTGTGACAGTCCCGAGGCCCGGCGAGGGCCTCGAGGGGCCGAAAACGACGAAAGATTTCCGTCTCGATTTTTTCGAGGCGCCCGATGTCTGGGTATCTTGTTTGTACGCCCAGGTCCCACACTGTTGGCGTTGTTTCGTTTTTCAGCAGTGAAGCCGTCGAGGCCATGGCCCATCGGAAGCGAAAAAGTGAGAAGGCAAACGCACATTGTCGTTCGCTCGGTTTTGGAGCTATTTTGGCTTCTTGGGGGGGGGGCCTTGGAGCGTTCGGAGGGCACTTGAAACCGTCTTGGGCCGTATTGAGTCCTCTTGGGCATCTTGAGGTTTGTTGAGCCATCTTGGAGGCCATCTTGGTCTCTATGAGATCCTCTTGGAGCCATCTTGGGCGATCTTGGGGGCTCTAGCACCTCGCGCCCCCCCCAGGTCCAGGTCAGGGGGTTAGGGGGAGGGGTCAAGACGCCCCCTAGACAGCAACTCGTCTAGCTCACTCCCACCCGCCCTCCCAACACATAAGTAACACCCGAGCCTCAGCATGTTCAGCGGTCGTCTTTGGATGGACAGCTACTGGGAACCAAAACCGACCCCGTGTGCGCGACGCTGGGGCGAGGTGCGCCACGCGTGCCAGGCGCGCCACGCGCGCCAGGCACCCCTGGGGCCCGAGGGTGCCAGGCACGCCTGGTGCGCCATGTGCTCCGCGTGTGCCAGGTGTGCCGCATACTCCAGCCGCGCCAGGTGCGCCACGTTCGGGGCACGTGCAGAATGTGTCAGGTGCGCCTGCGCACGTGGCAGCACACATCGGGAAACATGTCGGCCCACCATCCTTGTCGAAAACCAATGCCCACCATGGTGTGTGGGTGCTTGCGCACAGCAGGCCATGCGCCACCACCCCCGCCGTCCCTGTCAATAATTACTTGACAGTGATCGCGGAGTGGCCGCACATTATCCAGATTTAGCCGCGAGGTGCATGTTCCCCAACCAGAGTTTGCCTCTGTAGGGGTCCTAGCGGATTCATGATTAGGTGAGGTGCGTCGCCGATTTCGGTGGCCGGCCCGGGTGCCCGGGTGCCCCGGTGCCCGGGTGCCCGGGTGCCCGCGGGTGCCCGGGGGTGCCCGGAGGTGCTTGGGGGTGTGGGAGGTGCTCGGGGGTGCCCGGGTGCTCTATCGCCCTATAGCTTTATATAGCCCTATAGCCATATAGCCCTATAGCGCAATAGCCCAATAGCCCCCCATAGCCTTATAGCCCGATAGCCCTATATCCTTATAGCCCAATGGCCCTATAGCCATATAGCCCTATAGCCATATAGCCCTATAGACCTCTTGCCCTCTAGCCCTATAGCCCTATAGCTCTATAGTCCCATAGCGCAATAGCCCAATAGCCCACATAGCTCTCTAGCCCCAAGCCATATAGCCCTTTAGCCCTATAGACCTGTAGCCCTATATCCCTACAGCCTGATAGCCCTATAGCCCTACAGCCCTATAACCCTATAGCCCTATAGCCCTATCGCCCTATAGCTCTATAGCCCTATAGCCCGATAGCCATATAGCCATATTGCCTTGTAGTCTCATAGCCCATTGGCCCTATAACCCTGTAGCCTCTAGCCCTACAGCCCTATAGCCATATAGCCCTTTAGCCCTAGCCCTATAGCCCTATCCCTCACGGCCTTCATAGCCCTCGCAGACTTCATAAACGTAAGGAGTAATTGCAAAGGGTCTCATGTAAGATAAGAAACAACTGGTCGTTTTTCTCCAGTACCATTGATTGTTTTTGTTAGGGATGGTAACCCTGCGCGCAGCAGGCAATATGCTGACACCCCCGCCGTCCCTGTCAAAACAAAACAAAGTGCTGCGGGCCTCACGAACATGACTCCAGATTTTGCCCCAGAGTGTACTTTGTATTGTTTTTGTGACAGGGATGGTGGCGGTGGCCGCATCGGGTTTTGACAGGGATGGTGTAGGGGGGGGGGAGGGGGAGCATGGTTCCTGGTTGGCCGCCAGTCGCCTGGGTAAGGGGGTGCATACATCAATAGGGAACAGTGTTAAACCCTCCCCCGAGCAGGGGAAGGACGGGTTTGGGCAGAGATAAGACAAAACTCGTGCAACCACCCACGCACGGAAGGCAGGCGGGAATGTATTATCCCAGGGGAATGCGATACACCTGAAGGGTGGGTAGATCGTAATTTGTGTTGTTTCAAAAAGGGCATCTATGTTGTGCATGCTTTTTGTGATGCAATCCCATGTTGTGCAATCTAGGTGGTGCGATCAATGTTGGGCATTCTACGTTGTGCATTATATGCCGTGCAATCTACGCGGTGCAGTCTATGTGGTGCAATTGATTCTAACAAAGGAATTGACACATCTTATGCTCTTACAAACATCCCATCCACCCACCCACAACTTGGTTTGAAAAACCTATGCGGTGGCGATTGCGATGCATGCTTGGCGTTGGCTGGTGGATCTCTGCGGCCGCGCCAACCTCAGCACGCGTGCGCAGCGGCCAGCTAGTTTGGCGCCACCGACTCGGCCGCGGTGGCGCTGACCGCTCGGCGCATCCCAGCGGGAACTTCACTGCGAGTCGGCGACTTGGTCGGGCGCAGTATCAATGCAACGCCGACACCAGTAGACACGATGATAGTAGCGTTGCTGGTGACGATGATCGCACCGACGAAGGCGCAGCCAGTGCGGGCGCCGATGCTGATCACGCCGGCGACGATGACGGCGTCCTCGCGCCGGTGATGAAGGTTTTGGAAAGAGTTCGACATGCGCGCGCGGCCGACGCGCGAGAGTGGCCAGCATGGTTTTATTTTTCACGGATCGTGCCCCCCCAGCGCGCGCGCAAATGCGTCCGAATGATGTCGGCATGCGGCGCCAGAGGCCCGCTTGGCAGAACTCCGTGAAAACGTTCAAGAACCGATTGTTTTCTTAAGAACTCGCAAGAGTGCGCGCGTATTTTTTAACTGATGTTGCGGAACCACGTGTGTTTGAATGTGTGTTGGACATTTGGCTTTGAAATCGCGACGGAACCGAAGGTTTTTGAAGGATTTCGGCATGCGCGCGCGACGACGCGCGCGTGCGTATTCGTACCGTTCTCTGCCAAACAATTCTCGCGACGACACGCGTGCAGGGGCGTTCAAACGATGTCGACATGCGCGCGCGAAACCCGTTTGATCGTATTTCCTGACAGTGTTGAATAATTTCTGATTTGCTTAAGAGGTCGCAAGAACGCGCGCGCACGTATTTGTTATTGGAACATCCGCGTTCCGAAACCATTTGTTTGACATGTTTTTGGGCACTCGATGTTGGATTCCGTCCGACACCGAAGATGTTTGAAGGATTTCGGCACGCGCGCGCGACGACGCGCGCGTGTCCACATCGTGCCATTTTCTGCAAGTGGTGCATGACAACTGATAGTTTTTGATAAACGCATGCGCGCGCATAGTGTTGCAGAGAATGGGGGGGGTCGAACCTAGCCGGGCTAGGATGGTACGAGTTCATATTTCTGATGGGTGATGGGGCAGAACCGTATGTAAATTGCAACACAAAAAATGGATCGGTAA